CACATGGTTTGGGAACGGCGGTGCGGAGTACATTTATAGGGTTTTGTTTTTTTTCTTGGGGGTCCATAGGGTTTCGAGTGTAGGGGTTTGGGAATAATTTGGGTCATATAATATAAATGTAGTGAACGGGCACGATTTCGGAGGGCTTTGGGGTTCAAGGTTCATAACTGGCTTGTATAGGCTTAGAACTTTGGGGTTTTCGGATTTTTATTTGGTTGCGTACTAAGAAATAATGGGTTGTGCCGGGCTTCGCAGACAGGTCCTTCTGGAACTCCCGCTTTTCCCTCTCTTCCGGCGTAGGCTCCTGCATTAGGGCAATTATAATGCTGATGCACTATGTAGCTATGTTTGCTGATTGCACTGCAGACTGTGAAGGCAGCCTTCTTCTCTTTCTTGTCCTTTGGCTGCTTCTTCTCTTTCGAATCCATCGCGCTCTTCCCCATATTCCCGACTTTTCCCTCCATAACCTCTGCAACCGCTTGCCTCTCCGCCCTGTTGTTGGAGAGCTGCTGCGAAGCCGTAAGCCGGTTGCCGACTCGAGATATGGATCCGCCTTGGATAAGGATTTATGTGTCAGTGATACCAGCATGATGCTAAACCTTATATTGCCGAGATATGCAGCCAAGATGCTCGAACTTTCCAGTTCCTTGAAGACACGATAGATCCGCCAGTTCGGATCCGACGTTTGGGGGTGTCTCTTGCCAGTCTGGCCTCGCGTGCATCAGGGTTTAGGGTTTAGGGTTTAGGGTTTAGGGTTTAGGGTTTAGGGTTTAGGGTTTAGGGAACATAGCATTCCGATAAAGTGCACAACCAAAGTCTGAGACTCCAGCTGGCTTGGATATCCTTGACAAACTGCTCTCCCCCAGGCAGCTTGCCCCATCTCTCCATAATCTCACACAGTGGCAACTCGATGAATTTCTCTTTATCCTTTGTCTCGCTCATCCTGATCGCTGCAAAGCACAATTGAGTCCAGCATGTGTCTTATGCATAGAAGCACCAGCAAATCAGATGCAGGCAAAGCTCTCTTCGTAAAACGCATCAACTTGGATGCTTCCCATTTCCTTGTCCAGCAAAAACGCCTTCAGGAAGGCGAACCTTGCAGCTCATATGTCACATCCAATTATATATGTGAATATGTAGAAGCATATGGCCCCATCGCATCTGAGGATGGATCTTCTCCATGGGGCTGGTGGCAGCGTTCCATTGTTGCACCAGGCCTTTCTTCAGTCCTGTCGGGTTTGTGAGTTTATAAAGGGTTTACAATAGGGCAGGTTTGTTCAATTGTTGCAAATTAATGCAGCCAATGGCTCCTTTCGGATTATTCATCCGACGTCGCAGGCCCTCGTTGAGCCTGATATAGGAGATCGTTTGTGACTTCGGGGTAAAAGCTTGATGCTTTCATTCATGTTATTGGTTTTAGAGTTTGGCTTATACATTCAGGGATTTAAGAAATAGGCTTTGGCAATTACGACGAAGGCCTCTTTCGCTCCTGCAGATCAATGTCTTCCGGGCCACTGAGTGCCTCAGCAGGTAATATCATTGTGCACGGTACATAAAAGGTTTAAATGACCATATATACTATATCGTGCGAAACATGTCTGTATAGGCGGCGAGAATATAATCAAGACAGCAAAGAGAGAATTTCATTCGATGTAGGATCTACAAAAACCAGTCGAGGACATGGTGTGCAGTAATATAGTCCCAGGTATATGCGTGCAGATAATAAAACAGCCTATTGTGATGTTCATAATAAACCTTAAATAACCCAAACCACTAGTACATAGAATTACAAAATAGAGGATCCGATATGGAATGTAGCACATGCTATATAATCCATAATATGGATTATATACCGGTTTAGGGTTTAGGGTTTAGGGTCTAGGGTTTAGGGTTTAGGGTCTAGGGTCTAGGGTTTAGGGTTTAGGGTTTAGGGTTTTGGAGCCTTTGATGTACATAGGACCTGCGGTCTAGGGTTTCGGGGCTTAGGGCGTTCCAGCCGTTGACATCCTAAGTCCTATAAAGATTTAATAACCAGAAAGAGTTTAGGGTTTATAGGTTTCAAGGTTATAGCCACGATTTCAGGGTTTAGGTTTGAAGACTTTGAGTTTAACTTGTATAGTGTGCCTGTAAACTACCTGCAGGAAAGCGGCTTCAATGGCGGCTTTCTCCTCTTCGGTCAATCGTCGCACCTGGGGCTGGAATGTTGCACTGTAGGATAAGCACTAACCTATCGAGTCCAAGAAGCATCATTGGGGCTGCCATTGAATGTAAACTTCTTGCTGAGCGGTTCGATCTCCATGGGCCCCGTACCATCGCTGCTCTGGGAGATTCCCGTATCACTTCGAACCATCCTTAGATATCCAGGTGTCATTTTGTGAAAGGGTATCCGATGTAGGTCACATGTGCA